TTTGCTAATTACATGTAATTTTTAAATATAGATTAGCGTCAGGGTGATTATTTAATATGTTCTTTATGTTCTAAGATGATGACTTTTATCAATCAATTTTAACGTTGAAACGAGCAAAGTTTGATTACTATTATTTTAAAAAAAAAACTTGCTTTGTATCTTTGTGAGGTTCAATTTGGGCTTTATTCCTACTAATTGGGATTAAAACTTTATTTTTTTAGTATTTTTTTTTAATTTTGAAAATTGTATTGACAGTTTTTTTTTTAGTTGAGAAAACCTCTTGACAATATTTGTTTGGACATGAAATGAGGGATTTTATTGTAGGTGGAATTGGTAGGTACTTAGAATTTAGGAAAGAGGAAAATTTTGCTTTGATGATGACTGCCTTATATTTTTGGCCTTACTACTGGTCTAGCATGTACACAGATTCTAGGTTGTAACTTACATTTCAGTAGAAGTATTAGTTTTTGTAGGAAGGGCGCAATGATGTGTGTATGCGATACTAATTTCTATGAAAAATTATGGGTATGATTGTTTCGGTGTTAATATTTGTACTTGTAATAGTGAAAATTTTTCCTTTGTTAATAGTTATTTGTAGCAGGACACTGGGTATTCAAGTGAGTAGATAATTTACTTATAGCCGCTAGCATAAAACTACTTTAACTCTGGGATTAACTATCTTTCATCAGCGAGCTCAAGTTCCAGCTGAAGTTCGCACATGTATGCTTGTGCAAACAGTTCATTCTGTTGATGTCGTCATGTTGTTGGTGTAAAGTAACACATTTTTACTGTCTAGATAGGTCAATGGTGCTCATTTATTGAACCTTATATATGTATATATCTTGATGTATAGGTGGCAAGCAAGCCCTTATATCGTTGTCGGACAAGAATGATCTGGCTTTTCTTGGGAATGGACTTCAGGAATTAGGGTACATTGTTCTTTCATAAGATTGTATAGCACAATACTTTACCTTATCATCAACACTGCTTCTTAGGAGTTCCTTTCTTTAATTTCTTTTATTTTCTTCCTCATTGTTGCCTATTTATCTTGCTTGTAACTGACTTCCGTTCGTATTCTTCAAGTCTATGAGATGTTGTAACTTGACTGTTCTTAAATTTTTTATTATATTCTAGCGTGTTTAGAATTTAGGTTTATGTCAAATGAATTTGTTGTGTCAATGCAGGTATACTATTGTTTCAACTGGGGGGACTGCTGCTGCGCTAGAAGCTGCTGGTGTGTCGGTTACCAAAGTTGAAGAAATTACTCATTTTCCTGAAATGGTAATCTATTTGTCCAACAGTGTTTTCCTTTTACTCCAAATGTTCTGATTTGAAATACTGTCAGCGCGAAATGTTATCATCATTCTCAATATGGCTATATTTGTATTTTGACCAAGTACTCAAGAGCATCTCTCTAGTATCAATATGGCTTGTGCTAATTGTTTTCACTTCTTTTCAGTGTCTGATGTTATCTGCACAGACTTAATCCTTAGAAAATCTTCTATATGTTTCCTGGTTCCCTAAGATCTCATGGGAGTCTTATTATGAACAATATCTGTATTCTTGTGAAATTATATAATTCATCCGTAAGGTATTAATTACTGGAAACTTAAAAGTGACTTTTAGAACCTGTCCACAACATATAATACACATGAGTAAACAACCTGTCAGGTTGAGTGTATTTTGTCATGGAATCTAATTGCCTGTGCTTGGAACTTGCTTGACACATTTTGCATCGTCAGTGTGCTGATATGCTTTCTTGTATCTGGTTTGTAATTACTGACCTCAGCGCATTGTTCAATTTCAATTGCGTATCATAGTGATGTCTTCAAAATGAGAATTTAGTGTGCTAAATTTTTCATATTGTTATGCAGCTTGATGGTAGAGTGAAAACTTTGCATCCTAGCATACACGGTGGAATTCTTGCTAGGAGAGATCAAGGCCATCACTTGGAGGCCTTAAATTCTCATGGCATCGGTGAGCTTAGACTTAACTGTTTGTTGCATTACAAATTGGACTATAGCATCCTCAGATAACTTAGCTCATAATGGGGGAGCATTGGCCTTAACTGTTGATTTTATATGTTATTTGCATAGGGACATTTGATATAGTGGTGGTGAACTTGTATCCTTTCTATCAAAAAGTTTCTTCTACTGATGGAATTACATTTGAGGATGGCATTGAGAATATTGATATTGGTGGGCCTACCTTAATCCGGGCTGCTGCAAAGGTAAAATTTGACAATCTACTGGCATGATATGCAATTAAATTAGCCATTTAATTATGTTAAAATAAAATTTTATGACAGAATCACAAGGATGTTTTGGTTGTGGTTGACCACAATGACTATCCTGCCCTCCTGGAATTTTTGAAAGGAAATAAAGATAGCCAGCAATTCCGAAGGGAATTGGCTTGGAAAGCTTTTCAACATGTTGCTTCCTATGATTCTGCAGTTTCAGAGTGGTTATGGAAGCAATCATCAGGAGGTAACATTTTTACTGTGAACAATAAATTGTATCACTATGTATTTAACTTCTAATATGATGTTCTTTGTTCAGGTGATAAGTTTCCTCCTAGTTTGACAGTGCCTCTCACAAGGAAATCCACCCTTCGGTATGGTGAAAATCCTCATCAGAAGGCCGCATTTTATGACGATAAGAGTCTTTCCGTGGTGAATGGTGGTGGTATTGCTACTGCTATACAACACCATGGGAAGGTGAGAAGCTAATGCAAAGGAACTGTAGGCTTGAGTTATCATCAAAACCACTTGTTCATCACCCCCTAAGTAGTTAAATACAGCCTCATGCAAGGATTTGCTTCAAAAGCTATAACAAACTAACACTATCATTATTTTTCCAGCAGTATTTATTCATAGTTCATGACCAAAAATATGCTTCTGCATCATACTTTAAAATGTTGCTCGTAAATCTCGAAAATTTCATTCTTCTGATAGGACATCTAATAATATCAGATGTCCAGGCTTGTTTATGAATTTATTTTTATTTGCTATTTGATTTTGACTCTTTCCATTATGATTCCGGACAGGAAATGTCTTACAATAATTACCTAGATGCGGATGCTGCTTGGAACTGTGTCTCAGAGTTCAAGGACCCAACTTGTGTGGTTGTGAAGCACACAAATCCATGTGGTGTAGCATCAAGGCAAGATATCATTGAAGCATATAGATTGGCTGTAAAAGGTGATCCTGTAAGTGCTTTCGGTGGCATAGTTGCTTTCAACACAACAATAGACGAGGTAAGTTCTGAACATGATCCTTGTATGTACCTATATTTCCTTCTTTTCTTTTGCGAAATCTTCAGTAATTTGCTCGTATTGTACTATAATTGTCCAGGACCTTGCAAAAGAGATACGAGAATTTAGGAGCCCAACTGATGGCGAGACAAGAATGTTCTACGAAATAGTTGTGGCACCAAGATATACGGAGAAAGGATTAGAGATTCTTCGTGGGAAGTCAAAGACATTGAGGATTCTTGAGGCAAAAAAGAGTGAGAAAGGAATGCTCTCACTGAGACAAGTTGGAGGCGGGTGGTTAGCTCAGGATGCTGACGGTTTAACCCCGGAAGATATCAAGTTCAACATGATGTCGGAAAAGGCTCCTGAAGAACAAATGCTTCGTGATGCAGAATTTGCATGGCTTTGCGTGAAGCATGTTAAAAGCAATGCCATAGTGATAGCCAAGGTATACTATCTTTTGCACTTCAATATTACTTTTATGACGAATATCTGTTGATAAGATTCTTAATTCCCGTCAGTTTTAAATGTGAATACTGTTGGATCCCATATAACTAAATATACATCATAAATAATGGAACCTGAAATTTAATATATTGTTGATATAACTCATGAAATTGTTTAAATAGTTTACACTTTCGAGTGAAAATATCTTTAGCACCAATTGATCATCTTGACGAATTAATGTCTCTCACAAATTTGTTCTTCTATAAAATAATGAGGATTAAGAAAATAATAGATTTCTTTTAGTTTCATTTCAATTTCCAGGTAACTAAAAGAACATATAAATATTTGGTGAAGTTTGATAGAAACTTCTTGTTTCAGGTTCCTGTGGTCTTGATAACAGATTTGCGTGAATAAGAAATCTCATTATTTTCGGTTGACTGGAATGCTTCACTATTTAGTATCATATCTCTTTTCCCATTTTCTCCTTCTTCCAAGGTTGCGATTCACAAAAAACAATGCGGGTTATGGAGGATGACTATATTATTAGTTTCTTTACTCACCAGTTTTAGGGCCATATTGTCTGTCGACTCAGCAGCATCAGCATGTCCTTCTCTCTTGAGTCAATATGTGTTTTGTTGACATGGTTCTAGCCACTCTTTCAAGTATGATGCCACTAGTACTAAGTCCTAACTGCAGGCTCATTCAGTGGTCTCTTTTGGTTATTCACACCATCTGAAATGATAAACATCATCCTATCCTTGTTACATAATGCTACACTATATAGAGAACTGAAGCATCAATATATTCACTTGTCTTTTCTGTGTTGCAAATATCCACACCATCTGAATGTATAAAATGCACTTGATTCTCATCAAATAACAATTGAACCAGTGAGAACTGAAGTATTACTATAACCTGTTCTTGGCGTTTTAATTTTCTTGCAGGATAACTGTATGTTAGGTATGGGGAGTGGACAACCAAATAGGGTTGAGAGCCTAAGAATAGCTTTCAGGAAAGCTGGAGAAGCAGCAAAGGGAGCTGCTTTGGCCAGCGATGCATTTTTCCCGTTTGGTAAGTGATATTTTATTTTTTGTTCTGTAGTTGATATTTTATTTTTTGTTCTGTAGTGATATTTGTTACCTAAGGTGGGTATTTAGGTAATAGGAAGTAGGAAAAAAGGAACAAGAAGTTAGAACAAAGAGAACTGTTTCCCTTTTTCGAAGAGACCAGTTAGAGAAAAGAATAGGTCTGTGAATCTCAAATTTGATCAAGTACAATCTGATGAACCCTGTGAAAGACTCACCGAAGCTTGAGCATTCACGTTGAAGTTTCTTTCTTTTCAGAAGGTGAGAAGAGAAAGGAAAAGGTGAAGTGTAATAAACAGATACAGTGGAAATAAAAAGATGAGAACTTTTCTAAGAATTCCTTTCACTTCTTCCTTTAAAAAAATTATACTCTTTAGTTTCTGCCATGATCAGATAGTTTACAACAATTTATGTTCTCATTTTCGGACTTTACCTTTCATTCGAACATAGATATGTACTTTTCAGAAAACATGTTATTTAGTCAAACTTATTCTTGCTTAACTACACAGGAACAACCTTGATGTGTCAGCTCAAAACAGTTCAAGCAGTTTATATTTGTATCTGTTTATTCTTTTGTGTAATATCTCTATTAGAGTAGCCGGTATATCGGAGTAAATTATGTAGTGCTGTCTTATTTGTTCTCTTATAATTGAAGTCTGATTATCCCTCTCTGCGATCAAGCCACTTTCCCTGTGTAACAGTAGCAACTAGTGTTACTCTTTGACGGCCTCCTCAATTGTCAACACTATACATGTCGACATGCGTGCATGTTTAGTTATGTTCTCATGTGCATATTTGTGAGTTTGTTACGTGAGCTCCTTTGTAACATTTTCCACCATTTTGTTTCCTAATTATACAGCCTGGAATGATGCGGTCGAAGAAGCATGTCAGAATGGTATCGGGATCATCGCAGAGCCTGGAGGTAGTATCAGAGATAAAGATGCTGTAGATTGCTGCAACAAATACGGCGTCTCTCTAGTTTTCACAAATGTGAGACATTTCCGGCACTGAAGGAATATTGGTTTCACTACTACTCAGGCTTTAAGGAGAAATAATTGCTGTATCCGAGTTTTTTTGAGAATAATATGCAGGATTTGCTAGCTGATCCAAAAACTTTGGACGTGTTTGAATTTTCTGAGCCGAATTGAGATGTCGTATGATACTCTTGTGACTTTATAGATGCATAGAAATTTTGAGGATTTGAATAAACTTATTTTGATTGCACGCGTGTTATTATAGAAGAAAGACTGTCCATGCTTGATATTGGGCTCCCGCATTGTTTTTGGGCCTTGTTTCACAGAATTTAGAACTAATGTGAGTATTCGTTTACTTGCCCAAAAGGCCTTTTGAGTATTGGATACAGTTCATTACTTGAACTTTTGAGCCATTCGAGTTGGACAATAGAGAATACCAAAAATATAAGTAGATAGAAATACATCGGAAATGGATATGAAAAATTCCTCAAGGACCCAAAATATGGGACCAATAAGGGGACATGTGAGGTATTATCTTCCTTTTGCATAATGAGTTGGTCATCATTAATGATGACCAACTCATTATGCAATAGGACGGGGACACCTCACATGTCCTCCTGTTGGTCTCATATTTTGGGTCCCTGTACGGGATAACAAAAAGGTTGGACATAGATCATCATACCACGAAGCGTGAATCCTTTTATTAGGAAATGAAGTAGTTTTACAAAGGCTAAATACCCATATTGGTGTTTTAATTCCACCCCATTTACCAAGAAGTTATTTTAATTAAGCAAACCTGCTTTTAATCATTTTAATTGATTCAACTTACCAACAAGGTCATTTTTCTCGTCGACGATCAGTTTTTTGACGAGAGCTCGTCACCTGCGTGCGTGGCACGTGATGACTTAAACTATTTTTTAGCTGCTGGTGTGGTACGGATTTTCTGACGTGGCAGTGTTTAAAGGCGGGAATTAACTTTCTAAAAATCCCAATTCACCCAAAATATGACAGATTCGTGCCACATCAGCAGTTAAAAAACAGTTTAAGTCATCACGTGCCACGCACGTGAGGAGCTCTCGCCGGGAAACTGGTCGCCGATGAGAAAAATGACCTTACTGGTAAGTTGAATCAATTAAAATACCTTAAAACAGATTTGCCTAATTAAAATACCTTATTGGTAAATGTGGTGGAATTAAAATACCAACATAGACATTTAGCCGATTTACAAAAAAATTCATTAAAACTGAATTTTTTTTAGAAAGTAGGGATGCTGGTGATGGTATTCTGACCCGCAGGTGTAGCGTACCAAACGTTGCCCCGCCTGAGTTCGTCAGTCTCTTGTCCCTGCTCAAATGCGAAAAGCCACACCTACCCCCTCACTTTATATATCTCTGACCAATGACTTGAACCCCAACAAACACCAAACTCTGAAGAAATATAGTTTTGATAAATACACCCCCCATTAATCAAAACTAGAACTGCATGGCTCAAAGGACTTTGCGTCTTAGAATTAGGTTGTTTTTTTTGGGGTGGGGGCGTGGGTTGACTTGAAAGGGTTGGAGCGCCATGTATCAATAAAGAAGTAAAAGGATTACTCTTTAGGTAATGTCGCATTAGCGTGATTATATACCTAGATCCTTAGTTTATATTATTAACATTTATAAATCAGATCTAATGGTCTAAATGTTAAAAAAGGACACATTTTCCACTGACAGACTATATTATTTCTAAAATAAATTGTTATGCTCTGTTCAAAATGTTCTATACGTACATATTATACGCGATCTTCAAGAGAGTAACAAAAATCTAGCATAGGTTTGATGTTCATATGACATATTTACAATCTAACTACAAAAATTCATGAGTAGCTCAAGACAATGTTTAATTTTCTTTCTAGGAACCAAAAGAGATTTGTTACGCAACATCGGTAAGAATTTGAACACAGATGTGATGCAGATCATCTTGAGCATCTGAGAAGATGATACATCTATATCTGCAAGCAAAATGATGATACATCTGAGAAGTTTCAATCTCATGGGTACAACTTTAGTTTCGGACACAAGGGAGGACGATGGTATACAATCAAGCATACATACAACACCCACGTTAATTTTTACAAGCGTATCCTTAGGGGGTGTTTGTTTGCATGCAAGTGAAAGATGAAAGTGAGAAAGTTACTTTCATTTAACAATTAAGGTGTTTGTTTTCATGTAAGTGGTTATAAAAGTGAGATGCAAGAAAGTTGCCACATATGATTTAATACAATTTTGACTTCCCCTAAAAAAGTGGTGAAGTCACATGAAAGTGACAAAAAGGTAACTAATTTAATTAAATAATTTTAATTATACTTTCTAATTAATCTTATTTTGCCACATCATCTTCACATTACACTTTCGATAATAATTTAATTTTTCAAACAAACAATGTATTTCACTTGCGTGCTGACATGGATGTAAAAGTCATTTGCAAAAAAAAGCAAACAAGATAAATGGCACTCTCCCGCCACTTGGTTCGCACGTGACCCCCAGCAACTAGAATATTCCACGAATATATCGTTCAACAACCCCCAAAATCATTCAAAGAATAAATAATCAAATCTTCAGGAACCGAGCTGCAAAAATGCCCAAACGACCAGCGCCAAAAAGAAGGGTTCATTTATCACCGACTATATATAAAACTTTTTGAGAGAGAGAGAGAGAGATCATAGCGAGCTCCGTCAACTTGAGAGAGAGGAGAGTTGAAGCAATCGTCACTGTGCAGCTATAAATATCCCCCTTCCTCTCTTTCGCGCAAAAATCTAGGGTTTCCATCTCGAGATCTCAGTGTTGTAGAGAGAGAGGAAGTTGTCGCTCGCTCTCTCTCTCTCTCTCTCTCTCTACGAAAATGGCGTCCTCTGCTGCTCTCAGATCTGCAGCTCCTCTCGCAGGATCTCGCAATCTCTTCCCCTCCTCCGATTCGGCGTTTCGAGCTCCTCAATCCCTCAAGGTTTGATCTGCAAATCTTTTAATCTGGTCACGCTTTGCATCTTTTTATCTTTTATTTGATGCTGTCTCTCGAAATTCTTGGGGTTTCAGTTGCTTTGAGCGCCAATTTTATAAATTTCTACTTAACACAAAAAAAAATTCTGTTTTTGCCACTGTTTCATGTCTTAGCTGCATTGGAGCTCTTAATAAGCTTTATTTCTTCGATATATTTATGTAATACGATAGAAATTTCTAATTTTTTTTTAAATCTATTACAGGAAGTTTGTAGCTATTTGGAGTAATCTTGTAAAGATTTTTTTTTTTCATTTTATAAATTTTCTGTCCATCTAGAAGTCTTCTTTTTTATGTATTATCTTAATCTTTTGCTGCTCACATATCTCATTTGGCAGTATTTTTCAGCTACCAACCATGTGAATATTTTATCTGCAAATTTGAGTTATATTTATATTTTTAATTTTACCCTGTTAAGCAAGAAAGCTTCTCTAAATTTGATGCAATGTACTTATATGTGCAGGTATCCTGCTATGGTGCTAGTTCCATCGTTTTTGGTTCTTCCATTTTCCCATTAGAAGTACCCTCCTCACAGTTAAGTAGCAAGAATCTTATTAATTTTGACTGTGACCATATTATTTGATTTTTAAATAAAATTACTTTGATGAGATACAATGATCAATTCCTAATTTTTTTGTAATTCATAGTTCAATCAGGCACAGCATCTAACATTCGTTTGATTCTCAAGCCAAATGACCTGCTATCACAACCAGTCAGTCACAATTTTTTAACAATGTTAATGGCAACTTCCGCACATACATATAAACTATCCCTGAGTGTAAATAATGGCGAGAGATGATTTCTTTGTCTTGTAAGCAACGTGGATCCTTCGCAAATTTAATCACCGACTGAAAAATCTAACTGCCATGAGCAGGGCAGACATTTTGTGCAGAAAGAGAGCAGAGGGAAAGTTAAATAATTATCTCAATACAAAACTTATTCTCTGTGAAAAGGTTATAATTAAACCCGGTAACCTGGTTCATAGCTTTATCAATTGAATTGCCAAAAATAGGATTGTTCCTTCTCTTACATGTTTTAGTAGTAGTTTTTCATACCTAGCACTTTTGGTAATGAAAAACATAATAAAATGTCTGCTCCTTTATTTTTTGGTTAAAATGAAAAGAGATTAAAATCTCCATCTTGACCTTATTCTGACCAATTTGTAGCTATTTCAGCAGTAAATAGTATAAAAATCCTTACCCATAAATATTACAAATGGATGTTTTCCCTCTACGAAAATGGCAAAATACGAAGACTACCAAAGTTATCATCTTTCACAGTCCATTTAATCCCAATTAATCAGAAGCAATAATAAATTAGCAGATCAAAACAGAAACACACCACTTTAACTAATTGTAAGACTAGAGAGAGACCATATTTGTTGCAACAATATATAGCATACTTGTCTCTGATACTACCACCAACCTCTGCAATAATACTGATACCATTCTGACACGCTTCTTCAACCGCATCGCTCCAAGCTGTAAAGTTATATAACACAATTGTGGAAAAAATAACATGTAAAATACTTATAAACATGCACATAAGAATGTACCTGAACATGCACACATGATAACGTGGCTAACTGAAGTCCCTGTTCCTAATTGTGTAGGATATCAAGTAACAGAAGCATTCAGCCAATCAAAGCCACAGCCACTGAGGCTCCTCCAGCTGTTCCAAGTATAAGTTTTATTCTTGATGATGAACATTCCAGCATTTGATAGCTTTCATACTGAGTTAATGTGTTTAACTGTTAATTACTTAATTTAAATTCAAAATGAAGTTTCAAAAATCAGTAAGCATATGGTTTTTTATATGCCAACATCATGGCTTCCTATTGAAACCAGAGGCCTTAGTTTCTTCTGAAAACTGAATATCGAACAGCGGTTTCATTGTCAAAAAAAAAAAAAAACAAAAAAAGGCACAAAATATATAATTTTTAGAGTTGTTTACATGACGCCAAAACACATATTAAGAGCAATGAAATGACTTTCTTTATGTCTTCCAAAGTTACCTGTCATGATGCTTTTGCTGAAGTTTGAAATTATTTTGTTGTTTAGGATCATCAAGTGGTGGAAAAACAAAGATCGGCATAAACGGTATATTTCTCTTTTTTATTATTCTCTTCTGACTTTTGTGCTTATTCCTTAATATTTAATGAACACTGTCTCAAAATTGCTAAAATTAATGCTCAATTTGGAAGCTGAGTTTCGCTATTCCTTTTTGTCTACTTCTAATCATACAAGTGTAATTAATTTATTCAGGCTTTGGTCGCATTGGGAGGCTGGTCTTACGCATAGCCACAACTAGAGATGATGTTGAAGTAGTTGCAGTTAATGATCCATTCATTGATGCTAAGTACATGGTAAGGAAGCATGGACTTTTTATGAATTTGTTGACACACTTACTCTGATGAAATGTAGGCCATTGCTATATGATGCTATTGTTGTTCCGATCTTTAGTATATCTTGCAAACTATATTCCTGTTATATCATATCATTGTGTCCTTCTTATGATGTGAACTCCCATGTCAATTAAATTGGTTGTTTTTTATTGATCTCATGTGTTTTGCAAGATATATGTTAACATGGTTGTAACACGTTGATTCATGACTTAAGTAGATACTGGTAGAGAGAGCTCCCTTTGCTCTAAGTTAGACTTGACTGCCTTTCATTTTGCAAAGCATTGTATGCATTTGTCCAAAGGCTGATCATCTTCAAGTTAAGAGGTATGGTCTAGTGTTTCCCTTTTGAATTTTGAACACATCTAATTATTATGATGTCCTATGGAATATATGTGATCAATTTCTTTTAAGAGACACATCTAATTATAATGAGGTCAGAGTAACACTTTTGCTAGAAACACATCTAATTATAATGAGGTCCTGCAGAGTATCTATGAACAGTTTAACTGATCATACATGATTTAGTTTCTTTAAGAGGTAGGAAAAGTGGTCTCAGGAAACAGAGATAGACTTGTAAACACTTATCATCCTGGATCATTAATTAAAACATCAATGAGATCATTAATTAAATGTCAATGAACTGCCCACATTCCTGATAAAGTTTCTCCATATGATCAGTTACAACAATCTACCATTGTGTTCAATGGATCTGTTTGTACTTTGTAGCTTTATTTATTGTTCTTTTTTTGGTAGTATATAGGTCATTTATCTGCTTCAATATGTATCTTGTTCATACTTCACAAAATATGGTCTGTCTTTTTGGAGTTTTTTTTCTTAAATCCTGATCAATTGATGTGCAACATATCTGTCTGATTCTCATCTCCAGGCATATATGCTTAAATATGATTCCACACATGGGGTATTCAATGGAACCATCAAAGTTGTTGATGGCTCCGCATTGGAGATCAACGGAAAGACTGTTGTGGTTACAAGCAAAAGGTAATATAATTAAATTTTAATCTTTTTGAGACTATATGATGTTTTGCCAAAAAGTTTGTTTTACAGTTAATGTTCATTTAAACTAATCATTCATTTTGAGTTGTTTGGATTGTAAGAACAAGCTGAAGTTAAATAATAGTTGATGTGCCCTATGTTTTCTTGTTGCATATTTACTGTTTTTCTCAAGGTATCTGAACCATATTCTTTTCCAGGGATCCAGCTGAAATTCCTTGGGGTGATTTTGGTGCAGAATATGTTGTTGAATCTTCTGGGGTTTTTACAACTGTGGATAAGGCATCAGCTCACTTGAAGGTCTTTGCCACTTATGTTCTGTATTGTTTTTTAATGACTCATTCGAGTCTATCATAATTCTCTTTACATATGATGAACATGATGATTGATAGTTATATGATTTCTTATAGGGTGGGGCCAAAAAGGTGGTGATATCAGCTCCATCAGCTGATGCCCCAATGTTTGTTGTTGGTGTAAATGAGAAGAAATATCAACCTGGCATGAACGTTGTTTCAAATGCAAGTTGTACTACTAATTGTCTTGCCCCCCTAGCCAAGGTTGGTCTTGCATTATATTGAATTTTGGTATTTCATATCATTTGTTAGATACACCATACTTATTGAATAAGGAAGTGTGGGATTTTTTTCTGTGATGAAATATTGGATACAATCAATTTTCATCATAAAAGACGAGTTTACCATAGGCTGTACCATATTGGGGATTCTTACACATATGACTATGTCATGTCTTGTAGGTGGTCCATGAGGAGTTTGGTATTGTTGAAGGTCTTATGACAACAGTTCATGCAACAACAGGTTTATTCCTAAAACCTGTCATGTTAATTATCACTTTAGGATAAGTGTATATCTCACAGATATTATCCTGATTCCTTGTTTCCTAACTATGTTGTTTCTTGGTGTTTCCTTCATCTTGCTCAGCGACACAGAAGACTGTTGATGGTCCCTCAATGAAAGATTGGAGAGGTGGACGTGGAGCTGGTCAAAATATTATTCCCAGCTCAACGGGTGCGGCTAAGGTGAGAGAAGCAATGTGATGTATATCATAAATGTCATTTGACTTCAATTATTAGGTATATTCTTTGCTTAAAACTTTCACGCTAATGCAGATTTTGCTATGGTATTGTAGGCTGTTGGCAAAGTTCTACCTGAATTGAATGGGAAACTGACAGGCATGGCCTTCCGTGTTCCCACGCCAAATGTTTCTGTTGTTGACTTAACATGCCGACTTGAAAAAAGTGCTTCTTATAATGATGTTAAAGCTGCTATCAAGTAGGCTTTTCTTGTTCTCACGTATTGTTATTAGCATATTTTTCTTGTTGGCTTGAATTACAAAATTTTCTTGCTGAAACCTCAATGCTTTTTGATGACTGTTTTGTTTTTGCACTTCTTGTTTGGGTTCTATGCCAATGTTGGTTGGTTACATTAATCAATTAGATCTCTCTAATGTTGTATTTGGCTGATTGCATGACTGAAGAACGGCTTTCTGGCTCATCTTTATTTTACAATGTTTGGCATTTCTTATTGTGATGCACTTATGTGTCCCCAAGAATAAGTTCTCCCTGACGTCTTATTTTTGGCCAGGTTTGCATCAGAGGGTCAACTGAGAGGCATACTTGGATACACGGATGAGGACGTAGTTTCAAGTGATTTTGTTGGTGATTCAAGGTAAGTCCAGAATTGTATGCTGTTAACACTTTGGCAATGAAAACCGTAATCCTTCAAAAGGTTTGCTTGTGATTCAATTTTTGAGTTTAGGTATCTTAATTAATCTTGTATAGTTAGATTATTGGGTTAAGAGTCCTAGCTTCAGATCTTTATTTCTACTTTGGATACAGTTAGACCCAGACCGGATATTCTGTTAAAGGTAAAATTGTTACACCTAAAATGTATAAATGCTGAATCTGTGATTCTCCTTATTAACAACTAATGTAGAGTCTCTTGGTTGAACCTTTTATAAGTGATGACCACATTGTCATCTATGTTGATCCTCTTTGATAATGTGCTTCCGAGATTTTGGTCCATTCATAATAATGCGCTAGCTTTGGGTCTCATTCTTTCTGTCAAATTATGGTTTTCCCAATCTTGACTTTGGAGGGGTGAAATACTCAAGTAGTTCTTACAGATTGTTTTCACGAACACGTTTCCGTAATTTTTATCAATAATGCATATACACATGTGAATCTTATTGTTAACACCCCATGCTATTTGCTCAACAAGATCTCCTTTTTCAGATCAAGCATCTTTGACGCAAAGGCTGGCATCGGACTGAGCTCTTCCTTCATGAAGCTCGTCTCCTGGTACGATAATGAATGGGGCTACAGGTACAAAGCAACTCTGTTGGTCACCTCTGCTCATCTCTCTCTAATACTTTTGCCCCTCCAATTTTAACCTCTATATTTTGGTTCAGCAACCGCGTCTTGGATCTCATCGAGCATATGGCCTTAGTGAGCGCCACCCGCTAAATCAAGCTCGGGGGATGAAGAAAAGCAAAGAAGCGTTGATATCTGCCAATTTTTGCCATTTTTAATGGGTTTGGCCCGTTAGTCTTCTTACCAGAAATAGAAATAAAACACCCAGCAGCCAATTCAACTGCTGTGATTTGTATGGACCAGAACACTGGCAAATTCCATTCATATTGAAACAAAGTAGTGTCTCTTTTGTGCGTTCTGCTGGATATTACTTTTGATTGGTTGCAGATGCGAGGCTCCTTATTGTCTCCAATTTGTATTAGCATTTGGACCTCTTGAACTCTAAAAAAAGTCAATTTCTTTAAATGTGTTTGGATCACTTTTGCTGCTAGTTTTTAGGGAAGCAGGCCGTGGTGATGGGCCGATTACGGCCCGTTTACAGCTCCGTTGGAGGCCCAATTGTGATAAGTGAAGCAACAGGTGGCACGAAGGTGGGCTGCGTGAATCATCAGCTGGACGTTGCGGCTTTTCTGCGGGTGGCCCGGAGCCTCCGGCAGTCTTGCCAGCTCAAGCAAAGTGAGGAAAGCTTTTGGTTCGTTATTATCTCAAAATTTCACTATAAAAGCTCAAGCTTTTGCTCTCTCTCTCAAAAAAATAAAATAAAATAAAAATCATTTATAAAGTTCCTTCTTAATTAATTTCTTCAGTTTGAACGGGAAAAAACTTTAAATAATCATGGGGTCGAGCAGAGCTGGACCTGGTTGCCTGTTCTTGCTTTTATTCCTGCTCGCATCACCGCGTAAGCAAGCTGTATCAGTTTGAGAGTGTTGTATGAAGGAGTGCCGTGGGCGTATGTTAAGGCGTGTGCATTTTATGTTGCTGTATTGGTTGTTTGGTTCTGTGTATAGGAACATATATACGTTGTTGTTGTTTAAAGAGTATGAGGTCGAGATTTGTTTCTATTTGCTTAAGATACAGTTTATTGAGGTTTTGTTCGTACTTAATTGCTAACTCAACCCAAGCTTATAGCAAATTAAGAAGCTCATGGGCAAATGTTTCAAATCCTGCTAGTGAGATTTAAATCTGAATTGTTCAGATATATCAGTTCATTTAAAGTGACTTTCGGATTGATCACCATTTTCATGGGTCATCTACTTTGAGATTTGATCAACCAAGAATTTAAAATGTATGTTAATAAAGGAAGATAATGTTGCATGCATGAGATAAGCCAAGTTCCGGATCCATGCAATGCTTAACCTACCATGAGAACTCGTTAGGGGTATAAAATTGTTAATAATCACCAACACGTTAGATTTTCAATCTGAGTATTTAGTCTCTTAATTCAAACAAGTCATCTCTCCATTAACTATACGTTTCACACGATATCATGTCAATATCAGATGATGTAAATAAATGTGTTGTTGCATATGAATTCCTGAAATTTTCATAGAGATCGTCTTGTCTCTTGTAGGTGATAATCATACGCTTCATAGAAAAGATACACATATAACAAAGAGATAATTATGTCAATATATTAGAAAGTCTAAATACAGATAATACATTTCAAGAAGTTGATGGCTGTCAAATACTCTACAGTACATTGTGTGTATATGCTTCGTAGATTGAACTTATTCCTATTTTGCACTCAAGGTATGAATCTCGGTCCTATCATTAAATATATTTTAAATAGACGCTTTCGGTTGAAAAGTGAACTTACTAGCGTTTCTAATACCGAGGCAGACACGAGTTTAGCCCATGGTTTATTGTATTAATTGCCTTCACGTTAAGCTCGCATATATATATGAAACCGACCGCTAAGAAAAGGCATGCACATATTAATGGAAGGGAAACTCAAGAGCTGCATGCTTCTCGTTTTGCCTTCACACAAGTCTTGCACTGTACGTACCACTACCAAACTCAGTTGCTATAAATAATTAGGAACAGAGGATATTACATCTTCAAGGCATCAAGACAAACAATTAAAATATTTAATTAGCCTAATTAATTAAGGTGATAATTAATTAGGTGAGCTTTTGGAGATGAAGGGTGCTAGCACCATTTGGCTGGGAGTCATTCTGCTAATAGCTTTGGTACCAGGTAACTAATTACTTCAATAATTTAAGTGAGCTAGGTAAAATATTAATTAGATACGACTGATAGCAGTCTAGCTTAACTCGTAAAATATTATCAGTGTCATTAAAGGAAAATAACGAAACTACATAATGCTCAATAATGTGCAGATCAGATGAGAGTGCCACATGCAGAAGCTAAAGTTTGCGAGGCTCCAAGCGCAGGTTTCAAGGGGCTTTGCACGAGCGACACAAATTGTGCGCAAATCTGCATCACCGAGGGCTGGACTGGTGGCCACTGTGAAGGGCTGCGCCGCCGCTGCATGTGCCAGAAACCCTGCTGAGCTGAGTTTGTTTGAGCGTCTTCACTTTGTTGGAAGTATAAGACTTTGTGTTATTTCATGGGGTGAAAAAGACTGAATAAGAGCAAAACTAGACCAATTATCCATTAATTACTCTCACTCTGATATGTGTTTCTCAACATTATGACTTGGTCTATTGGCTTGTCTTTTGGTCCGGTCCTTATAGTAAAAAAATATCAAGTGTACTTCGGTTCATAGCATTAAGTGTGCACCAAATGAGTATCTATATTTAAATCCTTAAATTTCAAGATTCATGAACATATCTAGATGTTGATATCCTTTAGATACACATTTAACGTCGCGGGCTGACCATTTGCAAGTATTAACTTGTATATAAAATGTAACTTACAATGGAGATGTTAAAATTACAAAAATACCAATATGTTTGCAGAAATGCAAAAGCTTACTCTCCCTTCTCCGATATTGAACAGTAAAAAAAAATCCTTAAATGACATGAACGAGCCTTTTGTTAGAAAATCTCATGTTACTTGCTTCTAATGAGGTTGTCTAGATTAGATATGTATAGGTTAATTATAGTCTCTTTCTTTTTTAGGATTAACCTAATTTGTTGCCTATTTCCTTTATTAATTAGATGTTTACTTTTCTAATTATTCTTAATTAATGAAAATACATAAAAATTCTTCTCCTTTCCTCTCTCATTTCTAATTTTTAAAAAGACTCACATTACAAGCATTTAATTAATGAAACGATTGCATTTATTCAACAGAAAAACACAATGGGCAATTCACCTGATACAAAGGAAGGTCAATTAAAGCTTTACATGAATCCAGACATTTAATCATGCGCTAAAAAGTAAATTAATCAATGGTCATCATTTGTTACCATAAACCAAAAGAGAAGTCAACATAATTTTCTAAAATGTAAATAGGGTATAAAAACTCTCACAACTCATAGCAAGGTTACTACCTTAATCTTTTAATTAGCTAGTAAAAAGCTAAGAGAAGTCTGTAGAATGATGAAGAAGGGCTCCCCACTTTGCATAGCAACGTTGTTGCTCATCTGCATCTTGGCTTCAGGTAATTCTTTCCTATACGCAATGATCCAAATTTTATTTGATGCGTGTGTTTTCAATTTACAAGTTTCTAAAACAAAATAATCAAATCCAATCTTTTATAAATTCTTTATGCTTGCATTCAAACATTACACCGTCATTCTCCTATCACTCAGTTTGGTGCTATTAATTTCCCAAGATGGTCTTTTTTTATTCCAAATAAGATTCTGAGTTTTTTTTAGTAGTTAACCTGAACAAGATACACAGAAAAGTTGGTGATAAAATTCTAATCGAGTTTTCAAAAGAAAGACTCTGATTATATATACCGAAACCCAAAATAAGCTAACTCTAGAAGCTTAAGTCGAGTTGTCTATGAGTAGTACGACATGTCTCAGGTTCGACTCTCTTGGGGAGCATCCGTAGGAAATTAATTCTTTGAAAAATCTTAAATCATATATGCATTGAGGCGTGTTCCTTAGCGACGCTCGGAGATTTGATACCCATCATTCAAACATCAAATCAAAATATATACACGCACACGTGCCTACAATTAATTGGTACATTTTATTAAATGCCGCGGGAATGAACTATTTCTTTCATAACGGGATTGGCTCTGGATTAACTGTATTTCCAGGCACAATTTTCACTAGATTAATATATTTGTAGTACGTACGTACTCAGCCCTTTTACTATAATAATTTTTTATTATACTAATTAATGAACATATGGTGCGTCATTTGCAGAGATGATGGTGAGTGTCAACGGTTGGTTTCTTTGCAGGACCCTTGATGATTGCAAAGATGTGTGCGAATCGGCTGGATATGCCGATGTAAAGTGCCAAAATGTACCCTTCTTCTTCAAGTGTGATTGTTGCAAGGTGGCTTGCTGATGCGCTGCTTGCCCTCAAATAAAATTCAAAGAGCTTATTTCCTTGTACGGATTTAGGAGGCTTAATTTGGCATCGATAATAAATGCTTTTCGGAATTGTCCTTGGGAATTTTACAAATTGTCTCTTTTCTCTTTTATTGTTCGTTGATGATTATAAGCGCCTGCGTTTGGCAATCAGAAAGTAAATTGAAGGTTGAAGTAGCAACTGGCATAGCATTCACTTTTTTATACGCGTCGTGTGGTTTTAAAATTAAAAAAAATAATAATCTTAAAAGGGTTATACGTACAGTTGTTTTCATACTCAAATTAAAAAAATGGACAATTTTACAACACTGAGTATTCAGGACAACAGCATATTCCGTCGAAATTCTTAGGCATGTCTTGTGCAATTAAAACCTAATTAGTTGTTTAAGGATGATAAAGTTGTTAATTATGTATATAGTTAAAAAGAGCTTATGAATTATTCATACATGTCACCAGATTATAAGAAAGGGAAAAGCGGAGAAAAATACATATGTATTTCGTTCACAAGCTCATGGAATCAGAGATCCTCGTACCTCGAGCGATTTTGACAAGTCCTAAGAGCGATTTTGACAATTGATCAAAGTGGTTTATGGTGGCTTATAAGCCAGTATATGAGATATTTGACAAGTGGCTTATTTTGGCTTATAAGGTACCAACTGTTGAGCGCTGCGGAAGCCAAATAACCAAACCAACGTGCTACGAGAAATCAAATCAAACAAACGTCGAGAGAAGGCCAAACGAACCAAATCAATGTCACAAACACAAACAACCAATTTTAACGAGGTTCAACAAGTTGCCTACGTCCACGGGGTAAGAAGGAGATAGGGTTTTTCACTAATAGAGAAGAAGAGTACAAACTGAGATTACAAATCACTCAAACTCACCAATTAATCTCACCAACAAATCTCTAATTCTCTCCAAACAAAACCCTAACCAATAGCTCAAAAAATACATTTTTTCTGTGCTCCAAATATCCCCAATTTTCTTCTTAATTCTCTCTTCCAATTATTCAATATATATAAAAATCCTAAAATCATAAACATACTAGGAATTCTAAAACAAAAAACAAAAAAAAAATTTGGAATCCTAATAACCTATTATCGAAACAGATTAAGAATCATGTTACCAAAATAGATTAGGAATCCTAATAAGTTCATGTTACTAAAATAGATTAGGAATCCTAATAACCTCATGTTACCAAAATAGATTAGAAATCAGCTATCCAACAATTCTCCACATCGGCGAAGTTTTCCCAAAACTGAGCCGACACCAATACCAACCAAGCGTCTCACTTGTTACGTCTAGTACGAAGTTGAACAAATACATGACAACGGACTTAATCCACAACAAGTCGAGAACCCAAACGAGAATGCGAATAAACTCTAAACGTCGATATTAACTTATCAAACCGTCTGCGTCATAAATGACTGCCTACGTATCCTCTTGCCTAAGGAATCAAGCATTCACGTAGTTCATCCAAACGGCCTCTAAAGGCCTTCAATCAAATAGAAAATCTTGCAACTTTTCACCAATATCACTAACAGATCTACAACTGATAGCGTTCCCAATGGTCCCAAACTGAAACAAATCAAACACCTCCACCTGAGGTGAACCAATACCGTATCCAAAACATGTCCACCAACTGCACTCGAATCCAAAACTAACTCATCATCTGCATCCAAATCCAAATGATCTCCAAACCGTGTCACCTCAGCTAGGGGTTATTTCTTGGTTTCGTCCAGTCATTAATACCTTGATTATTTTTAGATAATAGTAGATAGAAACAACGCTTGTAAGGAGTCCTATTGAAACCAAGAAATATAGGCCTACCTGCCATCCACACCAGAATAGATAGAAATCCCAAACAATAGAGTATGATCTAAAGTATGTGGAGTAATCTCCACCCAATATGAAGTAGCATCACCTTCCACTCGCTGTGATATTCTGATGATCTGATCAACATTCTCCACCTGCCAAGAATCAAATATGACATACCTGTTCAGAATAAAATCAGAAGCTCCTAACTGATAATCAAACGAACTTCTGGATCCCAAATGTGCAATCGGATCAAATCTCACATCCTCGATGTGACCAAATGGTGGGCAACTAAATATCCAACGTAACCCAAAATCTGAAACAGCTCCACCAGATCTAATAACTCCAAATGTAATAGTCGGCAACCTATGACCAAGATGACCCAAATATGTCGAAGCTCCAAAACCAAAACCAATGCTCGACAACCACCGTCGACCCCCCTCCAGTAAGAAACGATCCATCAAAACTGTCATCTCATCTCGTCGCCCCAATGTCTCCACATCAATGAAGTCTCTCAAACTGCCATGAGCTCGACACAAATACAAGAAAGAATCCCTACCAAAGCGAGAACGATGAGTTACCTTTCTGCCAATACACTTCTTCTAATTGTTATTGACTTCTAGGACTTCACACCAACAGGACCTGGTTGCCGGCAACCTATGACCAAGATGACCCAAATATGTCGAAGCTCCAAAACCAAAACCAATGCTCGACAACCACCGTCGACCCCCCTCCAGTAAGAAACGATCCATCAAAACTGTCATCTCATCTCGTCGCCCCAATGTCTCCACATCAATGAAGTCTCTCAAACTGCCATGAGCTCGACACAAATACAAGAAAGAATCCCTACCAAAGCGAGAACGATGAGTTACCTTTCTGCCAATACACTTCTTCTAATTGTTATTGACTTCTAGGACTTCACACCAACAGGACCTGGTTGCAACCCACCAATACCTAGAACAATCTCCAACTATGAAAATCAAATACCGATTACTTCCCAATGATGCCTCCTTGGAAGGCCCGAAAATGTCTGACTGAACACCACCTAAAAGAACCCTCGATCGATGGATAGAAGTGCCAAACTTCACCTCGGTCTTCTTGCTCATACCAACGTGCTCAAAGGACTTCAATCTGCAGGTCAAAACACTCCTCAACAAACCATGCACGTCATAACCAATCAAATAACTCAGCCTCAACAAATGCCACAGTCTAGCCAAATCCAAAGAAGTCGTCAGCTCTCTAT